TAAGCCCGGATCCTCATACGGGCAACAGCGCTTTGACACCGAATGCTGATTGGTGAAAAACGGATGATGAAGGTAAATTTTACCCCCACAACCGGCTTTTCACCAATCAGAGCTCTGTATCAATGTGCTGTTGCCCGTATGAGGATCCGGGCTAAGTTAACAATAGAGTGTTTAATTAATTTAGAAATTTTTTTCATATTAATTAGGTATAAAAAATATATTATAGATATAGTTTTTAAAATATTTAATTGTTAATTTTTCGTAAAGTAGAAGATTTAATTGTGCAAATTTTGATATTCTGAATATAAATAGTAAAAAAATATGCATAAGTAAAGTAGTATTATTATATGGAGATAGATGTAAATATTAAAAATATTTGAAAATATTTTTTTCATTTAGGTTAGTTAATAAATTTTTATTAATATTAGAATTTATATAAAAGATAAGTAAAAAAATGGTTAATGAAATAATTAGAGGTATGGGATCTTATTATTAATACAAATATGAGTATGTTTATAAAAAAATGTTAATATAAATAATGGTTTTAAATAATAGTTATTTTTTATATTGGAAATTAGTCTAGTAAAGTATAAGATACTTAAAACTCTATTGTAGATCCGGGTTAGAGAATCCCGCAACAGATAATGTGTAAACAAGAATAATTGCATGTCGTAATATTTACTACGTTTACACGGCACCCTTTACGCCGAAGTTATAATGTCGATATTATGAAACTAGCCAATCACATTATATTCTTTAGAGGAATAGTTATGATTGATCAGTTTCCTAACATTGATATCATAACTTCGGCGTAAAGCGTGCCGTGTAACAGAGGTCATTGATAAAATGTTAAGAAAACCCCGCTACTGGGTCCCTATTCTTGAAAAGAAAAAAACGGATATGTGGAAGAATGGAACGACGGTGATTGGCTAGTTTCATAACTACCAATGTTATTAAATCCAATTAGCCCGGATCTACAATAGATTTGTAAGCTTTAAGCTATAAGAAATGGACGAATCACAATCAATTATTCTCTTCGCATTCGATTATAATTGGCCAATTTCTTATGGCTTGAGGCTTAAAACACCTATTGTAGATCCGAATTTAAGGGTGCTGTGTAAATATAGTCTTGGATGCATTCAGTATTACAACTCTTAGAACATATACTAACGGAGCGAGCAAACTGTGCTGAATAGTGATCTCTGCTATACGGCATGTTTAATCTGGTTTAATAACATTCGTAGTTATGAAATTGGCCAATCGTAGCTGTTCCTCGAAAGAATGTAACGACTGTGATTGGCCAGTTTCATAACTATGAATGTTATTAAACCCGATTAAGCGTGCCGTGTAGTAGAGATCACTTACTACGTTTACACGGCACGCTTTACGCCGAAGTTATAACATCGATATTATGAAACTGACCAATCATAGCTGTTTCTCTGAAGAATGGAATGACAGTGATTGATCACTTTCATAACATCGATGTTATAACTTCGGCGTAAAGTGTGCCGTGTAAACGTAGTATATCACTCGGAGAGCAAGGGGTGGCACCCAGTTGGACACGGCTCAATTGGACACGAGCCACTTACAGCGCTTGAGACTACAAAGCTCCTAAGCACCAGTCGCTGTGACTGGTGGTGTCCAATCCAGCCGTGGTCAATCGGGATCACTCCGAGAGCAAGCTATGTTCCGAAACCCATCGAAGAAAAAGTGTTGCAACCTTAGAACATATACTACTGGAAGGAGTATAGGCCGGGTGGCACTCAGTTGGACACACACACACGGCTCAATTGGACACTCACAGCGCATGGAACTACAAAACTCCTAAGCACCGGTCGCTGTGATTGGTGGTGTCCAATCGAGCCGTGGT